TGCGAATGGCTCAATCAATTTGTGCACATACATTTCGGCACCAGCCGGGGAAGCTGTATGCCGCCGATTGCTTCACTACAATGTGAAAATTCGGCACGAAAAGTGCGTGTGGAAAGCGGGAGAGGGGGGAGAGAAGAAAAAGATCATACGGTCAATAACCTTGATCACGTACCAAGCAAGGAGCCCAACAACCTGGACAGCGTGTCGTCTCCTCTTCCAAGAATCTATCGGTGGCGTTCTCTTCCTTCTTTATACGTTTAAGATCCTCCGGTGACAGGGCATCAGCGGCTTGGGTCAAAATAGATGAAAAATGGGACAATGGGTGCAGCGGGGAGAGTAATAGTTTGTATATTTTGCAGGGCAGCACAGAAGAAACGAATCAAGTACTAACCGACCGGGTTTGAAAAATCATATCAAAGGAAACAGCACGAATCCAAAATCGGCCTAGCATGACACTGCACCCGAAGAAGAACACATGAGATGATAGAACGAGAAAACTTTGAACTGAGCGTGCACAGACAATCTCATTGGCTCAACAAAAAGAAACCAGGCGCTGCCGCTCGATAGCAAAGCATAGATCACAGAGAGGACGTTTCGTAAGACACCCGGCAGCACAACAATATTACCTGAGCCTATCAGGTTTCGTTTAGGGGAGATGAGAAAGAAATCAAAGTTTGGTTTACACAATCTTTAACTGCGCATTGTAGTGCGGCGGTTTTGGTTGCTGTCTCATGACTACCCATTTAGATGAAGGAGTAAGGGAAGACTGGAATGTTGAAAGTAATGTCAAGGCGCAAATAGGGAATTCGTGTAAACCAACATTGATTGAGTAGATGCAAAAGCGGCACTGTTTGAAACACTCAGTCATATTACTCGATCCAGGAAGCCTAGCAGGATTTATGCGAGCAAGTTTCCTGGTCCGGTTTTTCATACCCTCATGCCAGGTGTTAGCTTTCTTATTGCACACGTTTTGTGTGATGAACAGCAGACGGGATAAACCCCATAGCCGCGAAGACCTACTATACAGCAATGTAAACCGGTAGCCTAAGTCCCGGGAATAAATCGGTGTTACTGGTGTGCTTCAGGCTCAATAGATCAGGGTTCGAACTCTATCACAACCAAACAGCTTTGCTGGTAGGCAGCTTCATTATCGTTCGAATAAACAACCCTACATTTACTCTAACAGGATTTAATGCCAGTTTTGCTGTAGCTCGGGTAGTGTAACTTTATGTTTAGTAACTGTTACTGCATTGAGAATGTCACCTCGCTTGGTGATGAAAGGTTTACAACACAACTTCCAAGCTCGGCGAACAACTGAACATCAAGGGATTTAATGTATTTCACTACCTCAAGTGTCAGCTCTCCGGTCCTCATACTCAACAGTAGGTCCCAATGACTATGGGGTTCCCTTCTCCTTATTGCTTGCCAAGCCGGGGTATACAACAAAAATACCGTATCAGCTACACAGTGCTTGCATGTGATAAGGGCTGTCCTTAGCAAGCTGCACTACAGTAGTCAAAGCCCGGTTGCATACATTCAATCGGTTTGACGAATAGCAGCTACTTTTTACACAACACATCTGTATAGATAGTTAATTAGACTGGAGTGGCGACCCAATGGTTTAATCGCTGTCACCCGCGTGCTTTGGACCCGGAAGTACGATAGAGGGATCAGCTCTGAAGTGTGACGCGGTCAGAAATCGGTGTTTTAGTCTTATATGGTTGCGGACGCTAATACAACGGTGGCGACTACACTGGTTTGGTCACATAATTCGCAAGTCCTATAACAACCTGACTAAAGCTGCCTTGGCAACACCTCCCTGCCCGAACTGGCGCTGTCGCCACAGTGGTCAGCTGAAAACCTGGCTATACATGGTCGGAAAGGATACAGAAAACCTTGATCTCCACTCCGTCCACCGCATTCGCCAATGGAAGTCAAGCTGGATCACAATCTGCGCTTATCTTGACGCCGACCGCCGAGCGTGGGCAGCGGCAATTCAGGAAATCTATGAAGCCGGTTTATCCCAGGAGCCAGCAGCCGTAAACCTGAAATCGGGGCTTAGGGTGTCAAACCACATAAAAAACCATTAGGTTAGGGGTGGTATTGAGCCGGGCGACAGTAAACTGCCGTAGATAATGGGTGATCAACGCATTTGAAGTGGCCTGAGTAGTCAGGCATTCGCTATTAACCGAGTGTTCCACGTAGATGGTGAAACGTACTCAAGAACTGCAAGAAGCCTAATCAGAAACAACAGAAACTCACGTCTGGGGAATGCAGCGCATTGAACGGTCCCGTGATATGTCTTGAGACAATGTGGACAGAAAGCTAGTTCACACTGTGGACAACGTCCTAAAGTGTTATCGTCCAGCAGTACGACAGTTTCGCAACCGGGTCGCGGACAGACGACCACATCACGCATCAAACTAATACCGCGTTTTAGTGCAAGAGCTTCATATTGTTCAAACCAGTCTCTCGAAACAACACTGCGAACCTGAAACGTGAGGAGAGGACAAAAAAAGTGAGTGGTGAGAGGGAGATGAGAGAAAATGAAATTTGGTTAATTTAAAAAGGCGATCTTACATGCACCAATGAAATCGCAACAGAGAAATTATCTCAGAATCTAGTGAAAAACTATACATGAAACTAGCTGCTTAACTTAGGAAGGCGGAGAAAGCAGTTCAGATAGGAATGCCTACATTACATTCACTGCCTTAGCCGACTTTTACGCGTTGTATTACGCAATGAAATCCGTACGGATCACAGTTGGTGACTTCAGAAATTCATTTTAAGTGTTACGACAGTAAATCTGCTACTTCGGGGCACTTGAAGTTGGTGGTTTTTGTCGGATTGAAGATCTAAGGTTACCAAACAAAAACAGTGGTATAAACGGTGCAAAATTGTTCCCTAAATAGCAAAATATTTAACAAACACACTTTAAAAAAACGCGTACGAAGACAATAACAATACCAGTTCCACAACTTTACTACATTGCGAGCACATGATTCCGCTCAATGTGCCTGTTTACTGAGCTGATTGAAGAGTGCCAAACCTCGAAAGATTCTCGAGTGT